GGGGCATATACCTATAGTCCCAGGTACTTGAGAAACTGAAGTAGAAGGATCACTTGAGCCCAGGAGTTAGAGGCCAGCCTGGGAAACATATGAGACTCTGACTCTTTCTTTTAATTCACCTACTCCTGAGCTGAGCTAGTCCATTTCTTTCTTTCTTTCTTTCTTTTTTTTTTTTTTTTTTTGATAGGAGTCTCAAGCTGTCACCCTGGGTAGGGTAGTGCCATGGTGTCATAGCTCACAGCAACCTCAAACTCCTGGGCTTAAGTGATCCTCTTGCCTCAGCCTCCCAAGTAGCTGGGACTATAGGTGCCCACCACAACGCCCGACTATTTTTTTGGTTGCAGTTGTCATTGTTGTTTCGCAGGCCTGGCTGGGCTGGAACACACTACCCTCAGTGTATGTGCCCTGCCTACTGAGCTACAGGCACCGCCCTATTTAAGAGCTCTTCGCAATGAAGCCATAGATGGATTTTGCTACATCCAAAAATTATAGTTGATTGCTAGGATTAAATCATAAGAAAATGAAAAATGTCAATCATTGTTAATAAATGTGACTTTTATTAAAATGTAGTATTCTTAAATTGTGTGTCTGTCCCTTGTATTTCAGAAATGTATCTGCAAAGGAGGCTACTGTTCCTCTGGTGGAAACAAGCAAATTCTTCCAAGAATTTTGTAGTACATCTTGTTTGTCTCCCTGTGAAGACAACCAGAATCTTAAAAAGGGAGTTTTTAATAAATCAAGATGTATAATCTGTAATAAATTAACAGAGGTCTGGATTTGTATACCTAAGTTATTATTTAGACTAATGGGGTAATTTTAACTTTTAAGTGTTATATGCTCTGCCGTCTACGTAGTTCACATATCCTAGATGTACACCATGAAGTGAAAAGGAAGAATAAAGATATGCTAGAACTAGTTTTTAAATAAATATTCCATGTGTATAAAATACACATCTGTTTCTATGGAATTTGTTGTGCTTATAAACAAAGTGATTGTTTAAGATGGATTTTGTTCTTTTTAGCAATGTTAATTAAAAATGTAGTTTTAGGGGCAGTGCCTCTGGCTCAAGGAGTAGGGCGCCTGCCCCATATACCAGAGGTGGCAGGTTTAAACCCAGCTCCAGCCAAAAACTGCAAAAACAAAAAAATGTTTTAGGAGCGGTGCCTGTGGCTAGTGAGTAGGGCACCGGCCCCATATACCTAGGGTAGCAAGTTCAAATCCAGGCCCGGGCAAACTACAACAAAAAATAGCCGGGCGTTGTGGCGGGCATCTGTAGTCCCAGCTGCTTGGGAGGCTGAGGCAAGAGAATCGCCTAAGCCCAAGAGCTGGAGGTTGCTGTGAGTTGTGATGCAATAGCACTCTACCAAGGGAAACAGAGTGAGACTCTGTCTCTAAAAAAAAAAAAAAATGTAGTTTTAGGACATGAAGGAAGCAATAGATCCTGGTAAAAGAATATATGGAACAAGTGGGAAGAATGTTCACTGTTCGTTAAACATTAGTTAAGTGGTATTGCAATCTTACCAGTTGCTAGAAGAGGAAGAAATATGTATACAGGCAGTCCTATTTCCAAAGTCCTTGGTAACTAAATTTGATGTTGGTTATCTTGGAGCCATGCCAATCAAAGGGCACAGTTTTATCTCATTTACCATAGTAAGAACCATTTTAGTTATAGGTAATACAAGCACTGTCTTGAATATAGATAATATTGATTTGCTTACTCTCTCCCTCAAATATTCTACCCCCTTTATTTATAATACTGCCTAGAAATTGATCATCCATTTCTTTTTTTTTTTTTTCTTTTTTAAGACAGAATCTTGTTCTGTCTTCCCCAGGTGGAGTGCACTCACCATAGCTTGCTGCAATCTCCAAACTCAGGAGAACTGCGTTAGCTTCCTGAGTAGCTGGGACTGGCTCCCACCAGTGACGCTTGGCTCATTTTTCAATTTTTAGTAGAGACAAGTCTCACTCTTGCTCGGGCTGATCCGGAACTCTTGAACTCAAGCAGTCCTCCCACCTTGGCCTCCTAGAGTACTAAGATTACAGGCAGGGAGCCACCATACCATACCTAGCCTGATTCATTTCTTTTCTTTTTTTTTTTTTTTTTTTTGGCCAGGGCTGGGTTTGAACCCACCACCTCTGGCATATGGGGCCGGCACCCTACTCCTTGAGCCACAGGAGCCACCCCTGATTTAATTTCTTTTTAGCAGATCATATCAAAATCACTGGTAGCAAGACTAACAAGGAGAATAGAATAAGACCCTATCTCTAAAAAACCCAGTCTTTTAAACCAGTTTTTCTGTTTTCTTAAGTGTCTTTTGGGAAGTTAATACTGATTTTATTGCTTCTCTATGTGTCTTATTTTTCTTATTTTCTAAATTGAAATAATGATTTTAGAACCAAAAAAAAAAAATGAAAGAATAATGAAACATGCTTTTAATTTTTCTTTTCCCTGAATAAATCTTTCACTGAAATATCTTTAGGGGTTCTTTTGTTTCTGTTACAGACACTAGTTATCTCTTTACCTACTGTACTAATGTGGTTCACTTATTTTAATTATTAAATTCTGGTTTGTCTTTTAGATTCACCATGAAGTCAGCGTAAATAATGTAACACATAAACTGTGCAGTAACCACTGCTTTAATAAGTACAGAATAGCAAATGGCCTAGTAATGAACTGCTGTGAACAGTGTGGGGAGTACTTGCCCAGTAAAAGCACTGGGAACAACATCCTGATGATTGAAGGCCAACAGAAGAGATTTTGCTGCCAAAGTTGTGTTAACAAATACAAACAGGTAATTGTTTGTAATGACTTAAGTGATGAAGAATCAGTACCTTGACCCTGTTAGCTTACATTAACCACATTTATGTTAGAACCTCAGTTAGTTCCATTTTTTTATTCTGTCATTGAGCTGTCTGATCTCAAGTATTGAAATTTATTGATTGTTGTAAGTTTTAAATGTTTATTGTTTGCAGAAGTTACAAGAGTAATTTTTCTTCTGTACCATTTTTTTTTTTTTTTGAGACAGAGCCTCAAGCTGTCCCCCTGGGCAGAGTGTCGTGGCATTACAGCTCACAGCAACCTCCAACTCCTGGGCTCCAGCGAGTCTCCTGCCTCCGCCTCCCAAGTAGCTGGGACCACAGGCGCCCGCCACAACGCCCGCCTATTTTTTGGTTGCAGCCGTCATTGTTGTTTGGCGGGTCCGGGCTGGGGATTCGAACCCGCCACCTTAGGTGTACGTGGCTGGCGCCTTAGCCAGTTGAGCTATAGGCGCCGAGCCCTTCTGTACCATTTTTATATTCCTACGAAGAACTTGATAGTTCCAGTCATTTCAAAATTTGGTGTTGTCTGTTTTGATTTAAGCCATTCTAATCATGGAATGATCTCATTGTGATCTCATAATTTCCATTTCCCTGATAACTAATATTCCCTTTTCATGACTCATATCTACTTATGTTTTGTCTGTTCATGTCTTCTGCCCATTTTTAAAAAATTTTTTAACATTTGTGTTTCAGTTTTTGTGTGGAGATGTATTTTAATTTATCTTAGGTATATGCTGTAGACTGGAATTACTGTATCATATGGTAATAATATTTAAACTTTAGAAACTGCCAAATGGTTTTCCAAAGCAGCTACACTATTTTGCATTCCTACCATCATCTTATAAAGGTTCCAGTCTTTGCCAAAAGTTGTCATTATCTAAACCAGTGGTTCTCAACCTTCCTAAGGCCATGTGTCTTTAATACAGTTCCTGTGGGTCATGAGACCAGTTGTCATTATCTACTTATAGTCATCCTAGTGGGTGTGAAGTGGTGTGTCATTCTCATCTTGATTTGCATGTCTTTGATGGCTAATGAGCATCTTTTCATGTACTTATTGAGGATTTATATATAAATGATTTTTTTTTAATTTTAACAATCCGGGTTGGCGCCTGTGGCTCAAAGGAGTAGGGCACCAGCCCCATATACCAGAGGTGGCGGGTTCAAACCCGGCCCTGACCAAAAACTGCAAAAAGAAAAAAAAAAATTTTAACAATCCTAAAATAAAATTGTAATTTATCCTATTTTTCCCCAGATGATGGAAACACAATCAGAGAAATTATCACCATCAGAAAATAGAAAAAGAAATGCTGTTAGAGAAGAAAATGAAAGACAATTATATGGATGGTCAGGTACACTTTTAGAAAAAATAGAGGGACTACCAGAAAAAAAGGGAAAGACTTCAGAGCTACAGATTTCTACAGAATGTAGTACAGATACATTACTGATCAAAGAGAACATGAGTTTATCACCTTGTTCCATGTCAACCATAGCTGATAAATTTCAAGAGCAACTGGAAGCGAAAAGATCAGAAGACTCTGTTATACCAATTGTGCTTTCTGCAGATCCAGGTACATGGCCCCGAGTTTTGGATACTAAACAGCGTGACACTCTTGTTGAAAACGATCCACCTCAAGTAAGAAATTTTAACTTTCCCAAAGACAATACAGGGAGGAAGTTTTCAGAAACTTATTATACACGCATTCTTCCAAATGGTGAAAAAACCATTAGATCCTGGTTACTTTATTCAACCTCAAAAGATTCTGTGTTTTGTCTACATTGTAAGCTCTTTGGGGAAGGAAAAAATCAACTGAAAAATGAGCATGGGTGCAGAGATTGGCAGCATTTATCACATATTCTTAGTAAACATGAAGAAAGTGAAATGCACATCAATAATAGTGTTAAGTATTCAAAATTAAAATCTGATCTGAAAAAAATTAAAACTGTTAAAGCTGCAGAACACAGATTATGTGAAGATGAGAAAAATGATGGTGTGCTGTTGTTGTACACATAATATACTTGATTTGGTTTGGGGTCTTAAATACCTCAGAAAAAAATATGTACCATAATAGTCAATAACTAATGTGTTAAAAGGCAGAGTAACTTGAAACAGATCATTAGCAATAAGTATAATAGCAAATAAATAGCAAAGCATATTTTTATTCCAAATCTAAAACTAATTGGATTTAATAGTCATTAATGCATATTTTTAATAAAGGCAATTATTAATTTTCCCTGCCTATAAATATAGTATGCCTTCTTTTTTTTTTTTTTTTCCCTGAGACAGAGCCTTAAGCTGTCACCCTGGGTAGAGTGCTGTGGCATCACAGCTCACAGCAACCTCCAACTCCTGGGCTCAAGCGAGTCTCCTGCCTCAGCCTCCCAAGTAGCTGGGACTACAGGCGCCCGCCACAATGCCCGGATATTGGGCTATTTTTTGCTTGCATTTGTCATTGTTTGGCGGCCCGGGCTGGATTTAAACCTGCCACCTCAGGTATATATGATTGGCACCTTAACCACTTGAGCCACAGGCGCTGAGCCAGTACACCTTCTTAAAATTGGCATTTGAAAACTACCATTTGGCTTGGCGCCTATAGCTCAAGCAGCTAAGGCGCCAGCCACATACACCAGAAGCTTGCGGGTTTGAATCCAGCCCGGGCCTGCCAAACAACAATGACAACTACAACCAAAAAATAGCCGGGCATTGTGGTAGGTGCCTGTAATCCCAGCTACTTGGGAGGCTGAAGCAAGAGAATCACTTAAGCCCAAGAGTTGGAGGTTGCTGTGAGCTCTGTGATACAATGGCACTCTACCTAGGGTGACAGCTTGAGGCTCTGTCTCAAAAAAAAAAAAGAAAAAGAAAAGAAAGAGAACTGCCATTTGACAAATTTGGTTAATACTCTGTTCTAGGCTTAGTGCCATGGAGCACAGTGGTTATGGCGCCAGCCACATGCACCGAGGCTGGCAGGTTCAAACCCAGCCCAGGCCAGCTAAACAACAATGATGACAGCAACGAGAAAATAGCCAGGCGTTGTGCCGGGTGCCTGTAGACCTGGCTACTTGGGAGGCTTAAGAGGCAAGAGAATCACTTAAGCCCAAGAGTTTGAGGTTGCTGTGAGCTGTGACACAATGGCCCTCTACCAAGGGCAACATAGTAAGAGTCTATCTTGATAAAAAAAAATACTCTGTTCTAATTACCTTATAAGAGGAAAGAAAACTTTAATTTTTTTTTATCAGTACCAATTTGAGTAAGATATTTTTGCGAACAAGCATTCTCAAAATTATTAAATAATAAAAACATTGAAACAGGATCTGAAACTATAGCTTTTTGCCATTAAAACAAGTATTTATGATTTATTTCTTTTGAACAATACATTTTTCTTTTAATTTGCATAATATAGGATCATTTGTTATATATTTTATTGGTTCTGTTCTTGTAATTTAAATTATAAATGTTTTAGCTTTTATTGTTGTTTGAGAACTATAAGCATAAGAATATATACCTATTTTTAAATTGGTACAAATATGGGAAAATAAAAATATATTGTTAACCCTGAGGTATTGTGGATTATTTTTTTCTCTATGAAAGGAGACTACTAGTTTGAAATTTGAGAAACACTAATGAAAATTAAAGATCTACATTTTTTTTGTTTTGTTTTGAGACAGAGTCTCACTGTCACCCGTGGCAGAGTGCTGTGGTGTCATAGCTCACAGTAGCCTCAAACTCTTGGGCTCAAGCTCTCTTGCTTCAGCCTCCTAAGTAGCTGGGACTACAGGCACCTGCCACAATACTCAGCTATTTTTTTTGGAGGTGGGGTCTCTCTCTGGCTCAGACTGATCTCAAATCTATGAGCTCAGGCAATCCACCTGCCTTGGCCTCCCAGAGTGCTGGAATTACAGGCGTGAGCCACCATACCTGGCTTAAGGATCTAAATTTTTCTTTTTTTTTTTTTGCAGTTTTTGGCCAGGGCTGGGTTTGAACCCACCACCTCTGACATATGGGACTGGCGCCCTACTCCCTTGAGCCACAGGCGTAACCCCAAGGATTTAAATTTTTCTTTGTTGTTATTGCAGGTTTTGGCCGGGGCTAGGTTTGAACCTGAGATCTCTGATATATGGGGCTGGCACCCTACTCCTTGAGCCAAAGGCGCTTCCCAGGATCTAAATTTTTTTAAGATGATCAGTCAGTGTTCCTACCACTACATATTTCATACTTATCCTTTCTTTTTCCCTTTCTTTTCTTTGTCTTCTTATTTTTTGTTCAAGTCAGAGTCTCACTTTGTCACCCTGGGTAGAGCGCTATGGTGTCATAGCTCACAGCAACCTCAAACTTGTGGGCTCAAGTGATCTTATCTCAGCCTCCCAAGTAGCTAAGATTACAGGTATATGTTACCATGTCCTGCTAACTCTTAAAAACATTTTTTGTACAGATGAGGTCTTGGTGTATAGCTGCCTGCCACAACACCCAGCTAGTTTTTCTATTTTTAATAGTGATAAGGTCTCACTCTTGCTCAGGCTGATGTCAAACTCATGAGCCAAACTCATAAGCTCAAGCAATCCACCTGCTTCATCCTCCCAGAGTGATAGGATTACAAGCATGAGCCACCACACCTGACTTTTTTTTTTCCTGAGACAGAGCCTCAAGCTGTCGCCCTAGGTAGAGTACTGTGGCATCACAGCTCACAGCAACCTCCAACTCCTGGCTTAAGCAATTCTCTTGCCTTAGCCTCCCAAGTAGCTGGGACTACAGGTACCCACATTGCCCGGCTATTTTTTGGTTGTAGTTGTCGTTTGGCAGACCCAGGCTAGATTCAAACCCACCAGCTCTGGTGTGTATGGCTGGCGCCTTAGCCACTTGAGCTACAGGCGTCAAGCCTTTTTTTTTCTTTTTTTAAGAGATAGAGTCTTGTGCTATTGCCTAGGCTGGAGTCCCATGGCGTAATCACTGTCGCTTCTAACTCTAGCAATCTTTACACTTCAGCCTCCTGAGTAGCTAAGATTATAAATGTACATCACCATGCCCAACTAACTCTTAAAAACATTTTTTTGTACAGATGAGGTCTCACTTTGTTTCCCCGGCTAGTCTCAAACTCCGGGGCTCAATCCCTCCTGCCTTGGCTTCCCAAAGTGCTGGGATTATAAGCGTGAGCTGGGCGGTACCTGTGGCTCAAATGAGTAGGGCACTGGCCCTATATGCTGGAGGTGGTGGGTTCAAACCCAGCCCCAGCCAAAAGCTGCAAAATAAATAAATAAATAAATAAAAAATAAGCATGAGCCACTGTGTTTGGTCCTCTGATAGCTTTTTTTTTTTTTCTTGAGACAGAGTCTTTCTCTCCCTCTGAGTAAGAATGCTGGGGTGATAGCTCACAGCAACCTTGTCCAGCAAACTCTTAGACTCAAAACATTCCTCTTGCCTCAGGTTCCTAAGTAACTAGAACTATAGATGCCACCACAACACCCAGCTAGGTTTTGTTTTGTTTTGTTTTTTTAGACCAAATCTCACTCTGTTGCCCTGACTAGAGTGCCGTGGCATCATCCTAGTTCACAGCAACCTCAAACTCTTGGGCTCAATTAATCCTCTGCCTCAGCCTCCCAAGTAGCTGGGACTATAGGCACCTGCCATCATACTTGGCTAGTTTTTCTATTTTTAGTAGAGATGGGGGTCTCACTTTTCCTTAGACTAGTCTTGAACTCCTAAACTCAAGCAGTCCACCTGCCTTGGCCTTCCAGAGTGTTAGGATTACAGGCATGAGCCACCATGCCCAGCCTTTTATTTCTGATTTCTGATGCCAGTTTTATCATATATTCTTTTTTTTTTTTTTGCAGTTTTTGGCTGGGGCTAGGTTTGAACCCACCACCTCCGGCATATGGGGCTGGCGCCCTACTCCTTTGAGCCACAGGCACTGCCCCTATCATATATTCTTATATATATACTGAACTTGTTTCAAGTCTCTTTCAGTGAAACAAAATGGCATTTAAGCAATAACTAGAGCAGATGTATTTTTCTTGGGGAACTGATACTAGGAATACTTGAAGACTTTCAGTGATGCCAGTCCATAAAAATATTTTTGGAATACCCATGAAAATCATTCTTTTTACTTTATAACCATTTTGAGTTTTGACAACTAGATCATTTAATTTTTTTCAGACTTAGATCTGAATGTGGTTTTGAGATGTTTCCAAAAATATGCTCTCAGAGGGCTAAGAAGGATACTCTAGACACAGGTTTTGAAGTTTTCTTGCAAATGATCTTATTTGCTCATTATTTCATTAAAGCTTAACAGTCAAGCTAGGTGTAGTGGCTCATGCCTGTAATCCTAGCACTTTGGAAGACCGAGGTGGGTAGACTACTTGAGCAAAGGAGTTTGGGGCCCTTGAGCTCAGGATCTGGACACCAGCCTGAGCAAAAGCACGACTCCATCTCTAAAAATAGTCCAGCATTGTGGCTGGCACCTATAATCCCAGCTACTCAGGAAGCTGAGGCAAGAGGAGCACTTGAACCCAAGAGTTTGAAGTTGCTGTTAGCTATGATGCTATGGTACTCTACCAAGGGTGACAAAGTGAGACTCTTGTCTCAAAAGAAAAAAAAAGCAAGTTCCACCTGGGCATTGTGGTGGGTACCTATAGTCCTAGCTACTTGGCAAAAGGATTGCTCAAGCCTAAGAGTTTGAGGTTGCTGTGGGCTATGACACCTTGACACTCTAACCTAGGCAACAGAGTAGGACTCAGTCTCAAAAAAAAAACGTGGTTCCTTAAGAAAATTTTTGATAAAAACATAGGATTTATTCATTAAGGAAAATTAGATCCTCATCTTAAATTCATTCATTTCTACAACCTATTGCCTGTAAGGCACTGTAAACTCCACACATAGTAATTCATTAAATATAAAACATTCACAGTACAGGTACTAGTTGACCTGTATTCACTGTAAATATCTTTTCAGCTTTTCAGTATGTTTGACTTTCTTTTTTCTTTTTCTTGAGGCAGAGTCTCACTATGTCACCCTTGGTAGAGTACTATGGCGTCATAGCTCACAGCAACCTCCAACTCCTGGGCTTAAGTGATTCTCTTGCCTCAGCCTCCCAAGTAGCTAGGACCACAGGCACCCACCACAATGCCCGGCTATTTTTGGATGCAATTGTCATTGTTGTTCAGCAGGCCCCAGCTGGGCTTGAACCCACCACCCTCAGTGTATATGGCCAGCGCCCTTACTGAGCTACAGGCACTGAGCCATGTTTGACATTTTTCATTTTAGACCATCTGGATGCAATAG